AGAGAGAGAGAGAGAGAGAGAGAGAGAGAGAGAGAGAGAGAGAGAGAGAGAAATATCAGAGAACGTTGTTCTCGTCGTCACCTGTTTCTCTTTGAGCGCGATGATTTCATCACTTTTTAAATATCAATATATGATGACGAGCACTTATTCAAGAATTCAATAAAAAAAAAAGATTATTCATGTTGGTTTTTATCGAGTTGGTTTTATAATGTCGATGATTTAATCGTCAGTATTTGGTGAATAATTATACTGAGAAAAAATGATAGGACTTACGCGATTAGGCCTATATCATTATATAAATATATAACTCGCGTAACTGTGCAGACTCGGTATGAAACAAACCAATCGTGCATCTAATGTTAGAACATGACTAGCATGACATGACTGTGATTTCTACGTTTAAATGTGCGATTGGTCAGCCCCTTTGTGTGTATCGGAGCAATGTACTTTTAAATCAATTCATTTCCGCAAGAGACAGGCAAAAAGAGACATGCAAAAAGAAAAGTAAAGCGTGTGAAGGAAAAAGAGAGAGATGAGATGAGAACAATCACGTATAAATAATAAAAAAAAAATGCGATATCAGCTGTGTACTTGTAACACAATCGAAGTCTCAAATCATCTATATATGTTAAATGATCTTATATCATGTCACTCACTAAAATAAATTAGTCATGGACTGTTCAAGGCACTTCTGTCGACTGTTCTCTTTCCTTTCTCTTTCACAAGCAGACTTTACATTTACATTTAAACGATATTTTTATTTTAATTAAGATGCTTTTATGATATATATTGTATGTGAAAACGTTATATATAAATGTATCCTTAGTAAAGAAATAAATCCCTGAAATCGTTGAAATCAATTATGAAATCATGGAAATAAGAAATGAAAATGATTAAAATATCCCAAACAGCAACGTGTCTGTCTTATCGCTGGCATGTTGCTTGCATTGTTAAGCATGTGTTATTACTAAAATTGCAGCAATAGAGTCCTCATTTATTGGCAACTTAATGCCTTTACGATATGATTCACGATATGATAACTTTTAGATAACAAAAAATGTTTTCCAGCAAGGAAACACAATCAAATATAAATAGTAAATTATTACATCCTTGTTGTTTGCCTAAGTTAAACAAGGACAAAGTGATTCATTTCATTTATTACACAGTGTCCTTGCTGGAAAGCACCTTTTGAGTAGCAACTTGCCAGCAGTTTGCCGACAACTTTAAAATCGTTATCATCAAAATTCATATTATTGCCATCATGTTGTCATAATTAATGCATTATACAATGCATATATTATTGTCATGCATATATTACTGTCATATATTATTGCCGACAACACAAGACCGATGACAACATTATCAGCAATCAGGTATAAGCAATCAAATTTGTACGAAATCACTATTTATGCGATTTTACTACGAAACGCTTTATTATCTGGGATTATATAATAATAAGTAATATAATAATAAGTAATAAGTAATATAAATAATGCTTTTAATATTAAAATACTACTATGTGTGG